TTTCTTACTTCTTCGTCGATCCTGATGATAAATATTGAGTGGTCAATGTTAGCATTCCAGTAAATCGACATCTAAATATTATACATTATTTTCCCTGTATATTACCAACATCCACAATATCTCTGATTGAGCGTTTTGTAACTTGTACGACGAAAGGTTGTACACTTTTCAGAAACGCACCTGAATAGGTTATGTGAATAATAGCCATAACGATATATTAAAACAAAATTAGATAACTTGTTGAAATATCTAGATGGCAGGAGCAGGTAGCCCAGATGTTCAAACAGGCAGCTGAATCCATTATAAGGATTCCCTTGTCCAAACTAAACTTATCATTTTCTTACTTGTTTGTACTTAACGTTCATATACGTGCATATAAATTACTGTGCATAATAAATGTCAGTTCTAGAAGAAAATTGTCTAATTTGTAGTAGGCATCATTTTAGTATATTGAAGAAATTTCTCCTGAATTATAAGTATTGTGCTTACTGAGCTGGATTATTTTTATAGTGAGTATTTCGTTTGATTTCTAGCTGATGTTCACGGCTCCGCACTTAGGATGGGCGCTGCTGAGGAGCCCCAAACTACGATGAAACGGAAGTCCGTTTCTTCAAGGTTTTCAATGGTGGTTTAACTTAAAGTTTGTGATTTCAGTGAAATTCAACAATCTCCGAAACCCCATATCTAAAATTACATAATGGTCTTTCTCGTTTTAAGCTTGTATCGATAATGTTGTCTAGAAAGAGAAGGAAATTTCTGCAGTTAAATTATTTAGTTCAGAGAAAAAATTTCTTCATGATCATCTTGCTGAACTACGAATTACACTTGTCTTCTCACGGTTGTCTAAAAGACAACTAAAGTACAATCACGTTTAAATTTTGGACTACGATTTCAAAAAAACATCATGTGGTTTGTAGAGTTATTAATCTATCATATCAAGGTTTTTCAATGATTGCGTCATAAAAAGTTAACAAATAAGTTGTTGTGCTCACTAGTGACTGGCTCCATGAGGTATTTCCTGGAGTTCTAGTGAGAAGCAGTAACCAGTGGAGTTCAACCAGGTCTGTTGGAAGATATCAACTCACTGATGAGATTGGTGAATTTTAATATCTCACGTTTTTTGACTTGATTGCTCGTCAGCTTTTATTATAATCTTTAGGCTATCTTGGATCCAACAAAGTTCCTGGTCAGATTGTATTTATATTCATAATATCGGATACATGATATGTAAGAAGTATTTTATGACCATTTAGAATTCCTTTGCAATATTCAGAACGTCGTTATTTTGGATTTATGTTTATTTGTTATCCTTATACTCTTAATTTATCAACTCGTCACTCAGATTAACCCGGATTTTATCAAATAACTTTAACAACCAAGTAAAATAACCAGACTTATTTTGTTAAAGTTGGATAATGGAAACCTAGGCTCGCGTTTCATTCTATTTGAAACTCGTCAGCTATATATGCCTGTTGCATCCCAGTGTTGATGTTCACATTGAGTCAGTTAGCACAGGATGTGATATATCCTAACGAAGACATAAGTACGGGTAACTTCCGGGACCTATTGATTGACTATTATATATATATATATATATTCTTATTGTTTAACTATTGAGTAATTAGATTGTGTATATCTATATTCATCCTATTATAAGCTTCATTTTGACCTACGGATTATTATTATATGAATTAGTGTTCCTAAATTATACTCAAAGATGGATAGTGGCTAGCAGTGGAATCCAGGACACGCGTTTCGTCTTGTTTGGGACTCGTCGGCTGGATGTACCTGCATCTCAGAGTTGATGTTCACTCTGTGACTCGAACTCATTACCGTTCGCTTCAAACGCCATCACATTATTGTTAAGTCGGCTTACAGTAAACTCTATCATAGCCTCCAGAGGCTCATAAAGAGCCCCAACCAATCAGCGATTAATTAGAGGCTATGCTACTAAAGTAACGAGATCCTGATTGGCTGTTTAACACACTGCTACTATGGAAACTCAAGGTCTCTTAATTACTATAAAACCCCTGTATTTTCTGTACATAAATGAATCCTGTAGTAAAGCGCTTCCCACACACTTTGTGCCTTTTCTCTGGTCTTCAAGTCGGTGTATAGTTCTGGCTCGGGGGTACGGAACTAGCCTAGGGAAGCGAATATAGCGTTCAAATCGGTCAGATATAACAATTGGCTACAGCCTAGGTCAAATACATAACAGTTATCCACTTAGCTACTGAGTCCTGATAGTCACTTGTTTGTGCAATGGGGTGAGGTTTGAATTCACTCAGTATTGCTTGTTTGAATCTTCTGATTGATGTTTAGGACTGCAACGGGTCAGTGAACACCAACTCTGAGATGGAGGTACATCCAGCTGACGAGTTACAAATAGGACGAAATGCGAGTTCTGAATTCACTCTTAGCCACTATCTATCACTGCTTATAATGCTTGTGAATTAAGGCTATATCGAGGCATTACGTACAGTATGTACATATATCAATAAGAGACTGGTCAGTTGCAGTCCTAAGCATCAATGGGAAGATTCAAACAAACAATTCTAAGTGAATTCTAAATTATACTCAGTTTATTGATTACTATCTCCCATGCTCATAGCCACATTTGGCTTGATCTTGTACAAATATTATTTTCTATTTTATGGTGTGATTCGGTCTGTTTGTCTGGTATATAACCCGAGTATGCTTGAAATAGATGATTAACATGACAGCTGTAATTGGTGTTTTGGACTCAACTGGAAGGCTATTAAGAAGCTCGATCTATACTGCCGCTACATCGACGATACATTCATAGTCGTGGATCAGAACACCAGTAAGGATGAACTACTAGAACAGTTCAACAGTGTACATCCAGCGATTAGTTTCACTGGTGAAGGTGAATGTGACATGAAGCTGAATTTCCTTGACGTTACACTAAGCAGGCGAAGTGATGGCTCGTTAAGTAGAAGCGTGTATAGAAAAAGACCCTCTGCCTGCCAATACACTCACTTCTATAGCTTTACACCTATCCAATATAAGAGAAACTTGGTTAAATGCCTCACTAGTAGAGCAAATAAGATCTGTTCTGTTGATACTTTAAGTCAGGAACTGGAATTTATCTATAACTCACTGACTGAGATCGGCTACCCTGCTGCGTTCATCAAAAAGTACATGTATGATACAAGGAAGAAATCGGAGATTTTAACTGTTCGTAAGAAGCCTCTATACATAAAATTACCATTCAACGGGATGTAGCAAGTGAAACTTTGAAAGATAGGTTAACAAAAGTAATTAGTAGAACTTTCTACGCAGCCTATCTTGCATTGACTTTCTCGAGTCGACCAGTGATGTATACTCAAACGAAGGATAAGTTACCTGAGTTGGCCTCCTCCATGTGCATTTATAAGTTCAGCTGCTCCTGTGGAGATAGCTATATCGGGCGTACTACTAAGCAACTTAACCAACGAATGAGTGAACATCTACCAGCATGGTTTGGAAAGGGCCAAATAAAAACAATACGCAGTTCTATCTTGGCACATCTAATTGATAGTGGTCATACTGTTGATAAATTGAAATCATTTCAAGTGATCTATCGTATACCTCCATCGTTTCCCAACGGAGTTCGCTCCCGTCTACTTCATATAGCAGAAGCCATAGGGATTCGTACATTCCATCCCAATTTATGTGTACAGAAGAAATTCGTAACCCCCCTATCCCTTCCATGGCCGGACATAACTTAATAATTGACATTATTATTATTTGTAAAAAATTTTTTTTATTTTGGTTATCATTTTTTGTTTGTTTGTAATTTTCTACCTCTTTCCGTTTGTGTTCTTCACTATCTATTTACTTACATACTTCTTATTACGTAATGATTTTAATGTTTTATGATTACTATTCTAATCTATTTACCCACATTTGACCTCTTAATTCTTATGTTTAATTATTGATAAGACTTTTGTTATCGTAATTTAATATTCTTACTACTATCAGTACACCTGTCTTCCCACTATCAACTTGTACTTTTAACTATTATTATGCTTGGTAACGTATTTCTATTTCATTGTGATTATTATTGACTCAAATAGCCTTGATTGGTCTAACATTTTTATATAAATATTCATGTATATTAGAGTAAAGCCTGATGACGATCTAATTGAAAACAATTGTTCGCTTACATATGTTGTTCTAATTTTCACAATGAGAATCTTTAATATTCAACTGGAAGAGCTAGGGTAGACTGCTCATACCGGTTGAACGTCATTGCTTTGGTACAGTGCTAAGATTAAACAAGTCGTATTCCGATTAGTGGATAAATCATGTGATAAAAAGCCGGGTATAAAATCACAACAAATCCGGGATTGCTTACATTCTTTAACATCAACAACGAAAATAATACAAGACTTTACAAACATATTTACTTTGCTTTCTATCTTGGTATTTTTAAAAGTGAACTGCTAACATTATTTCTGACAAGTCTAAAGACTGTTTAGGAATATATCTCCATCAATATAGATAGATAAATCATCTTTGACCCAAATTATGGGCAAAATAAAGACGAGTATTGAAGAAAATCCTTTTTTTTCAACTTAGTACACGTTTTGACGGTTAAAATAAAGAAAAAGTTAAGAACAACAATAAAAGTAGAAAAAAATACGAGAAGAAAAAAGCCAAAAATAGTATAAAATTTAAGAACTCTAAGTCAAGTTACAGAAAGAACTGATAAATCACGATTCTTTTTTCTACTGTACGACAGTAGTTAACAATAATGTAGTGAACAAAACACCGGTTGGGGACAATCGAATATATTTAAGCATCAATTACAGACTATCTCACTAAATTCTGATAACCATGCAATGAACAGTTAATTTGCAAATTAACAATCAATTGTCTCAATCTTCACTTTGCCTTCTGTAAATATCAGTTCATCTTTTCTAATTCCATTGTTCATGCATTATCCTACCAATTGCGCTTCATTTCAGTTCTTTCCTTATCGGTCTTCTGCCAAAATACATTCTATGTCTGACCATCACTATATACTACTGATATGGATATAAGTAGACCACACTACAATAGTAGTCTAAATAAAAAATGAAACTATGACGATCAGAGACAATAACTTTTAAAAAAAACATTAAGTCTACCTTATTTTTTTACGGTAGGTAAATTAAAAGTCCTGAAAAAAAATAAATGATGATTAGATCATCTTTTATTCTGAAAAAAAAATAATGAAAATCACAGCTTGAAGAAAATCCAAAAAATAAATAATCCACTTAAAAAAATCATAAAAATTAAGAAGAATCTTTGCAAAAAAAAAGTACGTGAAAAAGTACAAATTAAAATAAGCAAGACAACAAAAAAATTCTTCGGAACTAGTTTTCTATCAGAAAATTAACTTAACCATGAAAAAGCAGAAAGAGGACTGAATAGGTGATATGTTCTAATATACTACAACTCATGACTTTATACAGCCATTCATTTTTCACAAACGTTGATACTTTCCACTTTATTAAGTTCTTTTAAATAAGTTATTAATTTGTTTCAGTCAATCTTGAATAGAAAATATACTTTAAAAATTGTGTATCACATCAATGGATATAATGGAGAAATAATGATGACAAGGAAGTGTATCAATTCAAATGATTGTAAGGAAAGAATAATAAGGACAACATCAATGAAGAGGAAAATGAAAGCAATGAGTATTGAAACCATATAACGAATTAAATATATGTGTATAGATATTCATTTGCAAATGTTACTGAAAACCAATATAGTAAGTAGTATAGAAACAGTTGAGAAATTTATTCAAACAAAATTTACTTTAGAATTATTGCAGATATTTTAATCTTTCGATCCACAGATAGCAGGTGAAGTTTGTTTTTCTAGAAGACTTTGACGAGAACTTACTGGCAAAGCATCAGCTAATGTTTGAATATTTGGATTGTCTACACCAGTCAGTGCAATTTTAGCTAATTCTGGTAATTCAGCAAACGGAATCCATCCTTCACCTAATAAAAAAGTATAAGGAATTATAAAACTTAATGACTCCATTGTTTTCATGAAATCAAAAATATATTTAAAACGTGTGTACACACGCCTGAATATTAATTTTAGTTATAAGTCCTTTTCATGCTATATTATAATAGCCAGTGAGAATATCAACAGTGAGAGGCATACAAATTCAGTTGAAACTCATGGATAGTAAGCAATTTCATACTATATACCATTTATAGCCACAGTTTAAAAATACATATTGTCTGAAAGTCATCAACGTTAATAAGAATTCTTGAAACATATGCAAGAGATTTTCTAGAGACAGAACTGAAGTAATTTTTTAGGAGACTTATATCTAGAGCTTGAATTCTTAATATACCAAGTATAAGTTGAGCACTTGAACGCTAGAACATTCCAAGTCGCAAATGAAAAGACAGAAGACAATTGAAAAGAATGCTACTCCAAACAGTGTCAAATATGGTATTCATAGGTTTTCAGCATATTTTAGCATTTGTCCAATAGGGAAGCTACACATAAGGATTTTGAAATATTCTTCCAAAAAATGGTTGGATGGCATATCTTTGGCTCTCTCTGAGCTTCTTAGAGCTTCCTCGAGTTCACCCGTGGGCCATCCTCACAAAGACTAGTGTAAGACCCTAAACCAGTTAATCGATTGGTCAATGAGCTAAAAGTAACTTAGGTCTTGGTGCAAATTTTGCTAATCAAATTTCTAAAACTATATCAAATCAGCGATTCAACCTAAACATAAAAAATGTGAATCGAAATAAAGGGATAAAGTATAGGAATTTAGGAGTATAAAATTAAACTCAGGCCCAAAAGTTCATGACTGTATAGATGTGTTTCTGAAAAGACATGTCCTTTTTACTTCAGGTCATACATAGACATTTGAGATCCTAACTTCACCAAGAGGAGACTTTTCAACTGTTCTACAAATCTCATTACCTCTCTCATCCAGAAACAGCAATGAGACTTAAGTCTGAAAAACTGAAAAGCACAACCAAATTGTTGAGATCATCCGAAAAGTGCCTTATACGTCTTTTGTGCTCTTTATTTATGGTGTTTTCACAGTCAACACTTTACTAATTCAAAAACTGATTAAAAGAAAACTATGGATTGTTAATTTTTGACATTATTCCGTGCTACAAAGGATCATTGTATTATTCTATTACCTGGTTGACTACTACCACTACGTTCACCCAGTGGTCATAGAAAAAATGTATTTCCATAATTTAAAACCTTTTAAACATATTTCAGGCTTAGGTCATTTTACAACTTATTTTCCTATCAGTATTAACTGTAAGTGAAAAATAAATTATGCCCAGTTCTTTTCCAAATGTGAACTGGCTAATTTAACAACTTTGTGGTTGTTTTTACGTGATTTTGGTGATGTCTTTACACAATTATTTTATTTTATGCAATGCATTTAGTAGAGCTTCAATCGTACAGGTTTCCTCGTATATTTCATTAAACAAATTTATCTAATGAACTTGGTGACATAAATATATCGGTAAAGTACCCCTTGAGAAAAGAGCTAGGACTTTTGAAAACTAATGGAGGAATCAATATTTAGTTAGATTTAATATATCCATGCTACAGCTCCCTTACAACGTAGTCAGGAACATGAACATATCATAGAATAACATCTATTAACATTGACCACTTATCTAAACTTACCAACTGGACGTCCTTCAGCTTTACGTTCCATTTCAGTTTCGAAAACTGTTTGATGCTCATGCCAGTGCTTGTCACATGCAGCGCAAAGGAAAGCTGATGAAAATCCTGAACAGTTGCATCTTTTAACTTTACATCGATAAGGAACTAAATCAGCAGCATGTTCTTCATGAGTATGCTTACACTTGCATTTAACACGATAAGAATTACGATCAAAATCACTGCGTCTAGTCAACCAAAACTCACCAACTTCTTCTGGTCTACTGGGAACAAACTTGAATCCTTTGCATGAGCACCCAGTCTAGAACAAAATAAGAACATAAACTTAATAATATAAACAAGCCAGGTTATGGGAAATATTATCCTTTCTATTTTTAGATGCAAGTACTCGAATCAATGTGTCGCAATCAATTCTTACTTAGTAGATCATTTAGTCGAATTACTTAAAATAGACTCGTGATAATTTAGATTACATAGGGCAATAGTATTCATTAAATAGTGATATTTATTGATAAGAATAAACTAATGAGAGCATTCAATAGTTATACCGAATGACGAGGGCGAAATTCCTTGACAGATTATTGATATTGATGCAAATATAAAATTGAGACACCTGTGTATAAATGTTGTAGTGTAAGAGACCATGACGTGGAAGTGGTTATTAATATGGATAACTGAAAATCGGGAAGAAGACAAATATCCACTAATCACAATTAGGATTTTGGTTGTTCAGCTCGCAGTTAGATTCTTAAACATCACGAAAAGTAGATAAATGATTTCTCTATGTGGCCATATCTTAACGCACTGATAACATTGTTTATATTGAAAAATGGGTGGGGTTCAATAAGTATCTATAGATCTACACTTCTACTCGTTACCATAAAGAGACTTTGTTTTATTCTTGTTTACTAAATGACGTAGTTGACCTACTAAATGTGAAAAATTGATATATAATCTTTTAAAACGTTACCTCTAACATTTAGCACTAAGTTAGATAACTGATAAAACATTTAGAAATGTACAGATATATCTGTTTTAGCTCATATTTTCAACATTTGGATCTCACCAAGTTCATTCTCTCTGGTTGATATTTTTAATATGGTAAATCCAGTGACTAATGTCATAGATATTATAACTGACAGGAATTCAATTTAATACAAAAGGATCTAAGTTAATACTTGATATCTGGTGATTTCCCGATATAGTTGGGTACAAACTGACATAATATCACTTACTTTCAAGGCCTTTTTATTTTATATTCTACTTTTCTACCTTAGTGAGAGTTATCTTTTATCAGATGCATGAACGTTAATGAGAGGCTCATTGACTGACGTTCCCTTTTGGAAGATTATTAGTGAGTGTAACAACCCAGTTCAGCAATTAAAGTTGAATGACACTGTAGTATTGCACGTAAATATCGATCAGTATATGCAGCGCTCTACTTTATCATTAGAATACAAAGGAATATGATTAAAAAACTAATCAGAGTTTTACATAGAAATCCGGTTATCTCAATTTACGTTTTCTTCGTCTAAAATTTCACCTAGTTCTGTATGTCTTCCTGACTCATTTATGTAAAAAACATAAATCTGTAAAAGGTATTAACTTAATCTCAGATGTCTACCAATCATGTAACTTTAGTTTTCACCTGAGTTACGGATTATTTAACAATTACTGTACTTTAAAAGGTATGTAACAGGTGAAAAAGGTCTCACAGAATAATATTCGTGCACAAAAAAGTCTAAAAATAGTAAATTAGAACAAAAGAAGCTAACCTGACTACACTTTGATGATGCTTTATTCACAGAAAATGCTTCATGTTGATTTAATGAGTGTCCACAAAAACAGCGAGAATTAGAACACACACGCTGACAATCCTGTTGGTTCCAAGGTTTATCTATTGGTCTCCATGCAACATATACGCCTTGAAGTTTGTCAGATTTTAAAGAAAAACGTATGTAATTTGTAAAAGATAGCTACTCAAACGTTAGCTAAATTATTTATTTTACATATTGGGTGGATTAAAAGGCGAGAATGTAAGCGTATACACACTTGAAACCAATATTTATTTGCTATACAATGGTTGATATTACTTGCTGTTTGATCTTTGATGTTAACTAAACTACATAACTCAAGTCTGCTTTATATTTTTAGCAAGCTAATAAGCTCATCGTTTCGGTACAACAGGCTTTACTGTAATTGATGCATACTATTAGTGTTTATCTTAAAATTTATACGATTCATGAAATGAAATAGTATTTTCTTCCCGCTAGTAAACACGTCAATATCAAGTTGTCTAGCTCAAACATTACCATTCATATCACATTGATACGGATGAATGACAAGTAATATATTTATATGTAAGCATATATTTATAATCCGTTGAAATCTATGATGCTGCTTGATCATTGAGAACAGTTAAAAAAACTACTAATGTCAAAGAAATGTCATGTCAAAAGTTTCAAAAACAACCTCTATAATGAAAAAATGGGGCTTTACCAACAATATTTTGGTCTTTAAAGAACCATTTCTTAAAGATTGAAGACCTTCTTTAATGAGGAGAAGAATCAGGTGCAATGGTTTTGAGTTTTACGCACAAAGATATTTACTGAATCTCGTGAACCATATCACTTCATGTTTACCTCTCTTCCACTAATTGATGAAGCATTATACACTCAAATACCCCTTGTTTTGGCAGGTTTATTCACACTGATCGCTTTAGCTTATTCACAATCATGTGAAATAACACTATCTACTTGTGACGTATGATTTCGACGTAAACTTCAAGTATATTGACTTCATTATAAACCCTCATTATACTTCACTCTACCTTATATAGTTGAGCATTTCATTTATGTACTAATGAGTTTTACAATCCCTTAATCTATCCAAAAGGTTAGTAGTCATATGATAATGTGGCGGAGTCAGTCACCTAGAAAAGTCCTGGGCTGACTGCCTAAAAACTTATCGATTTCAAGTTATTATAAGTCACGAACTTACAACTGCAGCTCACTACAGTTCGATAGCTACTGGATTCCTTTGGTCATCTAGTTTCTTTTTAAGGGTTTCTAAGGCGTCAGTGGGAATTCAGTGTTGGCTATTTCTTAAATACATAAAGCCTAATTTAGTACTAGACAGATATACTGCAATGTATGGAGGTGTTAAAACTAAGATGATAAAAAGGCATTCTCGTTTTTAGGAAAGTTAAGGTTATCCCATAATGATTTTGGAATGGATATTCTCAGTGATTTTTTCATCTAAAAATCATTGACTGAAAAACATTCTTGATAAATTAATTAACTCTGATTAAGACAATTAAAATCCAAAATTGTTTCTCCTGATAAACATCGTAGGCCAAGTGACACTCTTTAACGGAATGTTGTAAATCAAATCCCGGTAATATGGCTTTTAAAAATGAGGGGCTGAATATATTTTGAAGTCGGCAGCAAGCCTTCTCATCTCGTCAAAAGAATACAATGTTGTATTTTATTATGATATTGTTTAGTGGAACAGATCAAAGTAATGCCTCATCAAAGACTAAGAAACCTTTGACGATATATATTTATTTATTTATTTATTTAAGGACCTGTTTTGATAGCTTCTTTAACAGCCTCCACCTCTGGAGTAAATAACTCTTTAGTCCTCGATGCAAAATTATCGTTCATTGAACGCGCGAGTGAAACGATATCGCAAATTCCTGATGCTTCAATCTTCTTAATTTTAACTTCTGAAAACAGAAAGACAATAAAATGAGAAGCTTCAAACCTCCGACCGGTGTTCTGTATATTCCTGGTATGATGTTTCCATTATCATCAGTCAGGAAAAATTGGTTTTCTTTCTCTTTCTTTATCTGAAACATCATAGGAATTGTAGATAATAACCTTCTTAATACCAGGCTTTTTACGTACGACCCTATTACTGCTCATTTTTAAACACACGCAAGCGCCAGTTGTCGTAGTAACCAAATTAAAAGTGCTCACTGAGCAATCTCTAATATTTAATATCTTTCTGATGAACTTGTATAAACTGATTGATTTATCTATGCTCTCCCCTTTTTCCTACAATGCAGTTCCGGGGCTTAAGTAATATCCTGTGAGTGGTACTCCTTCAGTCGACTGTTTTAGTTCCATTTACTTTAGTTGTTATTTACGGATTTGTATATCTTATCATCTGGATGAGTGCATTTGTCACAGAGCAATAGAGTTCCCTGAACCAACATCTATTACTTTATTAGGTAGGAAGTTGGTAAGTTCTGATGGGGAAATCAATCAAGCATAAACAAAAATACACTGGAGCTAAGAGACGATTAAATTAGTTACTTCATTATGCAAACAAAATAAATAGACGGGAATAAATGAATGAGAGGTATGTGGAGGTCATGATAAAACAGGCGGCAGTAAAATGATAGTACGTAATAATAATGGTGGAAGGTGGGTACTCGGTATGTACTCGGTATTGCTGGTCCACATGGGAGATCCTAATTCATGGAGAAGTATATGTCAAGTATTGCTTTGGAGCTGTTTACTAAGCAGACTATGGTTACTTTGTTTGTGAGAGCATTGTAAAAAGTGGCAGCTTTCATAACAAAAGGTGGAATCATACCTCAATTTTTGTTCTTCGATGTACACTACGCCTCGAGTTGCCTCAAGAGATGATGTGGTGAGGTTCTATTTGGGTGTTTGTGTTGGATTTTCTTGACGTGCTTAGTATGTTATGTGCCAGTGTTAAATCTCTTTCTATTCTGTGGTGTCCCAGGTATCATAATCTCAAGTTTTACAGTGTGTCTTCGTGAAAGTTATTCATCAAATCAATCATTCATTTTGTCCCTGTACTCGATCGGAAAGAATTGCGTCTCTCTTGAGAAGTTAGGAGTAACAACATTGTGGACTTCAATGTAAGATCGTGAGTTTTGAAGTATGTTATAAATAATACGAGGGAGGTGGGAGGCAATGTCCGACTTGCACTTCCGCGTAGTGCCTTGAGGACATTGTTTGATTTCTCTTCTCATGAACCCACGCAGACGATAATAGTGGAGACCAGATTAACCAACTATTTCACTGTCGTATGGGGATCGAGCTTATCACCCATTCTGTCTGAATATTGATGACTAGGGAAGGGGGTTAACCTGAATTGGCTTTCTGGCTGTGGCATTGAAGGAAATTTCCCTCTTTCGCTATCTGGATTGATTCGTCTAGGAGGGCCCAATGAGGTCTGGCTAGGGTGGGTCAGAGCGTAAGCCACACGCTATGCCAAACGCACAGTGATCAACATTAAACTGGCTTGTTGTAAGAGTCTGACGTGAGCACATCGTCCCATGGACAACGTGTATGTTTATTTGAATATTCGATATTCATTTAGTGACAACAGCCACTGGGCTTGGGGGCGTGGGATTTGTGGGTTGAAACTTCTATGCTTCTATGCTTCTTTGCATAGATCAGCATACTGGTAACCGCGCCCATCTATGCTGTTGTGTATGTCACTAAAATGCGGTTGTCTCTGACATCAGCATTTGAATGTATGCACGTGAAACATACTTGGGAGCAGAAAAATTCCACGTTTCTCCATTGGTGAACTTATTAGCAACTCATCAGCGCCTTTGGTTGCTTAAAAGCTTCTGAACATGGTAGATAATGAATATCCCTGTCTAAACAATGCTCCGGTGACCAGTTATATTGACTCTTTGCCCGAAATGCCTCGCGGTCTCACCTCCTTCTCGAGGTAAGTAACCGAAAACCAGGGAGGCGAAATCTGACTCGCACGTTGACGTCGTGCCCTCTGAAGAGTGAGGCTTGGTCCCATGAATTAACGCGAGTGACAACCCGGGTGATAGAGACCAGGCTAATCATCCACTCCACCGATACTAAACACTAATACCGAACCACTGCACAAGTATCAGTGGCTGAAAAAGGACGAAAACATTTAGAAAAACATCAAAAACTTAAATTTCGTTTGTGGAACGTTCGGGGTGGCTCCCAAGAGAGAGAACTTCACCAGATTGCAGAGTGAATAGTATGACGAAAGTGCCACATAGTAGTAATTCCTGAAACCTGTATCGTTCTCAAGACCTCATATATAGACGAAACTATCATCTATAGGTTAAACCGAGATATAAACGACTGCCGGAACACCGGAGCCGGCTCCATCGTTACTAAACAAACAATGGTTATAGTCACTGATCTTAGCGAAGTAAATGATAGAATAGCAACCATTAAGATACACTGTAAGAACACCAATCAGTAAGGAATTATAGATTAAATATTCACATAATGACAAATCTACAATTTTATGATTAGGTTTATTATTAGAGCAGTACAAGTAACGAACTTTGACCATTATTTACGAATCTAAATAACAACAGCAAAATTTACATGAAAAACTGGATAGTGCAACCCTGTCAAGACCTAAAAGAAATGGACGAAAAACTGCTTGCAAAGTGGATAAACAAACAAACCAAAGTTAAAATCATTGCATACAATGAAGATTTTCCTAAAATAATAGGAAAACGTTCACTAAATCATGTCTGCCAAAACAAAAACTGAGATAGAATGCTTGCCACGATCAAAAAATGAATCAATGTTATAGAAACAATCATCAGATATAATCTAGTACAGTAGAAAACTACAATTATCAATTGACAGATTGCAGCAAAACCTACAGAACCTTTGGTTGGCTAACAAGACTTATACAAGCATGTCATCCACAGCACACTAGACCCATGACAGGAACAAAACCCTTAGCTGATCAAACTAATGTACAAACTGAAAAAAAATCCCCCAAATAACCTAAATTAATACCGCTATCCAGGATGTAAAAGGTGCTTAACAACCAAGAAAGTAATTATCGATCACTGTTACTTTGTACATAAATGGTCAGCAATTACCGGATAGGAAGTAAGACCAGAGATAAAATATCCATATAAGCAACTATTGAGCCACGATCGTTGTGCTGTGCTTCGATGTAGCCTATTCTCCGGAAGAGTGTCCCGGCTTCACAAACCATCTTTGGATGGAAGGGGCACCAGGGTGACGGCGTCAAGTTCTCTTCGAACGGACTTTAGTCTCATATCCCTACTTGCAATCCAAGTGTGGTTTGCGTTAGTGCCTTAAACTGCGCTCTGTAGAGAAAAGTGGTGGAATTTTACCTTGAAGAACGTTAGATGTTTGTGTATGTTCGTAACATAACGTTTCGACAGGTTGAACGACATTCAATTGTCCACCATCAATCTCTTGTTTGCTCTCTCTTTGTTGAACTCCATCGGTTCCTCCATATATTGACTTGTCAGAGTAGAATAGTACTGATGGGCTAGTTTTATCTGGGAGTTTGTTAATAAGGATGAGAAGTGGATGTAAAGTCATTCCCTATGAAACTCCTAATGTCTAGATATCCTAGCTCGTGTATACTCTGTTCACTTTAGTACAGAGCATCCTGAAGCCGGGATAGAAATGGGTCACTTAAGTCTATCCCCACCCTCACTACAAGGTGTAAGCTCATTACTTTGTCGAGCGTTTTTCCATGGAACGTCATCTTTCCGTCAAAGCTAGTTGTCCAACTGTTCGGTGTCGAAAAGAGATTGGACCTACCTTTTCTGAATCTGTGCTGGGCGTTATGAAGAGTGTCGTTCTCCTTCGTATATTCCCGAACATAATCATTTACTGGCTCTTCCATTCCCTTCGACATTGTTGTAAATAATGCAACTGATGCGTACCAAAACTGGATTTGTCCTGTCCTCAGTTTTAAAGACTGGACAGAGAGTTGCTTCTGTAGCAAGCCCATTCGACTACTGTATTTTTTGTGTGCTCTCCGTAATCCTAACATTTAATCCACTTTGTAAATTTATGTGTGAGTCTGATTGAGCGCATATGTCTGCACATCAATCTTTAATCTATTCTCTCATTGGTTGTAAACAAAGACAATCAATAATTTATCCACAACCATTAACACTCATCAATATATATGGATTTTTAACACTCACACACACACACACTCACTTGCTTTCCCTGTGTGCTTGCTATCTGTACGCTTACGGATTTTACCGAGCTTCATCAATAAACTATCTCTATAACTGGTGTTCAGGTTTTTGAATAATCTCGAGTAAACCCGTAATTCTACTAGGAGATTTAGCCTGCAGTAAATATTCAGTTAGCGGGATATTATTTATTTATTGGAGTCAGATATAGAGGAATTAAACCTCTACAAAATTGGTGAGCCGCATTTTGAACACGCACCCTTCTTCTACAAAGTTGGTAATCCGCTTTTTGAACGCGTACCATCTCTCTACAAGTCTGTTGAACATTCTCTAATCATATCATAAAGAATATCACATTGGAATTACTGTTACAATTATTAACAATTCATTGACAGTCGTAATCTATTTTCTCATAACATTGTTCCTTTGGAATTATATCGATATATTCGCATATTTGTACCCAAAGTGACATTTTTTAAATTATTCGGTGAGTCTCTCATATATTTCTTGTTGTTATTGGTTATTTCTTCATATTGTATCTCTCAATCCACAGCTTATTATTATTGCTGCTGTTATTATTTCTTTGTATCATGTCACTCGATAATTCACTTAGCCTTTCATCTAAGTCTATTTCCGTGGGTGCCATCTCTGTACCTTTACCTGTTTTTAATCCTCGAAAGGCAGAACTCTGGTTTGCACGCTTAGAAAGCTTTGTTGTTACAAACAGAATCACAAACCAGAACACGAAATTTAGTTACGCAAATTCGTTGCTGCCGGATGACGTTATTGAGCAAGTGCCTGACGTCATTTTAAAACCGGATCCTGACTCACCATATGATTGCCCAAAAAGAGAGGTCATACGTGTTACATCTCTCTCTGACCAGCAGACTATCGATCAACTTTTAGCCAATGTAGAGCTAGGTGATAACACACCTTCCCAATTAAAACGCCACATAACAAGTGTTTTAGGGAATCGTATAGTTGATAAACGTCTATTATAT